CAACACGTTGAAAGATAGAAATGTAGTAATTGTATAGTAATTACAAAATAATATATCATTATTTGTAAAAAAAAATAATAATAATGCAGTAAGGAAAAATTTTAAAACATAAAATATGGATATTAAGTTCATAAAATTAAAAGAATAAATTAAAGAAAAGATAGAGAGAAAATGTTATTGCAGATACATCATTCATGAGTGCAAGAAGAATAAATTTAAGAAGAGGGAAAAAAAATAGAAAGAAAATAAAAAGGAAAGAAAAATGATATAACTTTCAAGGTAAAAATAAGAGAGTGTTTAAAGAAAAAGAATGCAAATTATTGGATATCAAAGAAATTAGAAAAAAAGGAAGAGTAAAGAAGAAAATAAAAGAAGAATTGAGAGAGATTTTTAGAAGGGATAAATTTTAGGAGGGGCATTTTTAAGCTATTACAAGTAAAAAAAAAATTAAAAATAAATAAAAATAAAAAAAAAAAAAAAAAAAGAAGAAGAAGAAGGGGATAATTCTATAAAAATGGAGTTTTGTGGGGTTAAAGGACAAAAGAATGAAGTCAAAATTAAGTTTTTCAAATTAATGGAATTTTCTCAAAGTCTTGAGGTGGGCATGGCAATTTACTATACATCATCTTTTTATTCCCAAAATATCATTCTATTGTTGTTATGGATCTCTTTCTGCCTCTGCATTTGTGTTAGCTTTTTTCTTTTCTTTGGGTGAAAGGCCCTCTCTCCAGTATAGTGGAATACTTTTAATAGGTTCTCGCATGGCATAGAGGTGACCAAAGGCCCGCAAGACTAGGAGTCTCAATTGTTGCAGGAGCTGCTCCAGACCTACTCCAGAGCAAACCCATTTAAAAAAAATAAATAAAAAACAGCAAACCCATTTCATCATCAATCTCTCTCACCCCCCTAATCCAGCCCCAACAATTATTTCTTTTCAATTGGCCATCTCTCTTTTGCACACACCTAACTAGCAAATCCATTTATTCATTAGAAAAGTGCAAATGACAAGAAATTTTGGATGAATTTTTCAAGTTTGTTAGTTGTTCGATTGAGAAGAAGGGTTACCGTAGATGTGTTTCCTCTCTAAATATGAGCGGTGGTAACATAATTTCATAACAATAATAAAAGAGTATTTTGGAAATAAAAAAATAATGTACAGTAAATTTTCATGTCCACGTCAGATTTTGAGAAAATTTCACTAATCTGAAAAACTTAATTTTGAGTCCATTCCCCCCCCCCCCGAAAAAAAAAAGCTCCATTTTTATGGAATGATTCCCAAAAAATAAAGTATTAGTACATATATGAGGGCCAACTCTGTGCCGCCCTAGGCCTTAGTTGGCTCCACCCTATAAGTATGTGAGATTATTTTGTGGTGTAGTTAAATTTATAATTTTTTCAAATAAAAATACATTTATTTGAGAATCCAACAATACTATTATAGATTGTACTATGTTATATACGCACAATATAGGGTTGGAGGGTGAATTTGCATGAAACTTTGAGAAATGCATTTCTCATTTATCAATCACCAAATTGGTTCCCTCACAAGTTATCCCATATCAATCATCATTTTTTTGTTTTTTCTCCCATATCCTATAAGTATGTGAGATTATTTTGTGGTGTAGTTAAATTTATAATTTTTTCAAATAAAAATACATTTATTTGAGAATCCAACAATACTATTATAGATTGTACTATGTTATATACGCACAATATAGGGTTGGAGGGTGAATTTGCATGAAACTTTGAGAAATGCATTTCTCATTTATCAATCACCAAATTGGTTCCCTCACAAGTTATCCCATATCAATCATCATTTTTTTGTTTTTTCTCCTTTCTCCTCTCTCTCCTCTCTTTTCTCTCTCTACCGCCGTCCCCATACATTCAAGTTAGCAATTACAAAGAGAGAGGGGGGCAAGCTTGAGAGTTGAGAGACAGCGGCTGAAGCTTGCAAATTGGAACAGGAGGCGATGGAAACTGAAAGATTTGGGTTTTGAATTTTTGAACAATCTGAAATGATATGCCGATATGGGTTTTGAACTTTTGATTCTTACAGACAGATAGATAAAAATGAAATATATGGGTTTTGAAGTTCTGATTCTTGTAGATTTTGTAGTTTGTAGTTGCACCCTAGGGGGGGGGGGGGGGGGTTAAGTGGGGAGGCTAAAATGATTTGCCCTAAAAATAATTATATATATATATATATATATATAATTTGTTTTTTTATAATAATATAATCAAATGTATAATATATATATAAATTTCTGATTTTTTTTTTTTTAAATCAACCCATCAATCTGACCCATCCCGTCTGAAAATATTCGGACTGAGTTATGACCATAACCCATATTGAGTACAATTCGAACTGACCTAACCCAATCCGACTCGAATCGAAGTTAAGTTGGGGCTGAACTGAGTAGGGCCAACCCAACTTGCAGCCCTAATCTAACCTGAAAAGCAAAATATAGCGGGTACAAATAACAATGAGAGTACTTTTCTGAAACTAGTGAAGGACATCTATCTATATATCCACACACACACACACACACACACACACATATATATATATATCGGTAAGTGAGATGGCATGTATGCTCTACATAAATCCAACCTCCACCAGAAATTTTGATCATTTTCTCACAAGTTCATAACTCACCGAAGAATATAAGTTTAGTTAGGGGACCACAAAAAATGATGGGTTTCATGAACTTCAAGGTAGGTCCATTTTGCAATTAAGTTCCTTGCACAAAATTTCAACTCACCTTTGACTTAATTAGAAGACATTTAATTTGATTCTAATTAAGATCATGCCAACTAAATGAAAATGCATAGGTCCAAGTATGAGTAATGGCCTTTATCATATCATTGGTTTAATTATAAGAAGAAAAAGAAGAAGGATGAAGCATAATTTATTAGGTCCATGGAAAAAGAATATTAATTAAGATAGATGAGATTCTCATTTGAACCAATTTGATTGTGATTGCAAGAGGGCGCTTGTTGGATTAAGGTAAAAAAATAGTAATTTATTACTCCTATTTACTAATAATAATCATTAAGGTACGGTCAAGATTTTAATGGTTGGTCTTCTATTCATGTCACCATTTTTTTTTTCTACAGTCTCATGTTGGACAGTGTTAATTCCCATCTATTTTCATTATAGAGATTACAAAAACTTTCAATGCAATTTGTGAAATATTGAAAACTTATTGTACCAAAATTCCACCTCGTGAAAAATTGGAAATGATTTTGTGATAAAGATAATTATTACGTGGATTAGGTCAGTGTGTAATCACTTCATCTATATATGGTCCACTTCAAGTCATTAATACCCTTTGACAAATAGGCTTACTCTTACTGGGAGAACAAAAAATGAAATCGTAAAGCACCCAATTTGCTACCGTTAATATCAAAATTGTACTCAATTATGTCAATCCTATTTTCTAATGAATTAAAGTTTTTGATCAAATTGTGAAACACCTTAATATCAAAGTCAGACTCAATTATTGATATGGTGTCACCCCAAACACCTGATCTGAAAATGTTCTGATGTGCCACCCAAATATCAATAAAATTTTCTAACGAGATTGATTAAAAAAAAAAAAAAAAAATTTCATAAATTTTACCGTTGTCTATGGTCAAAGCTATTTTTTCTTCCTACCCAACCAAACAAAAGGATGAAAAAAGTCCTCCCCTTTCTTTAAAAAAGAGCTACTTTCTTTCCCTTCCATTCACTTCTTATGCCTCCAACCAAACGCGCCATTAGATAATGATTCTCGTTGGCTCATTGATTGCATTTGCCCCATAAGAATAAACATAAAGCACTAAAATTGAGTTGGTTAATCATCTCAATCTTTCTAAATATTTTGTCTCAATTATCATAACTAAGATTCTCCTTGTCTTTGTCTCCCTCTAATCATTCACAAATCCAACATACTTGTGACCTAAGTCTGGGTTCTTTATACATTTTAACCCTGCACGATTTGTTTGCCTCTTGCTTTATTTTTACGTGAAAAGAAAATCAAGGTGCCAATTCATTGAGGCACCCAAAAATGTCTGAAATTATATATATATATATAATTTTATTTTTCAACAGTTTCTATATATTGTCAAACACTACATATGGACGTTTATCATGATTTTTCATGGCCCACGCACATTAATAACCGGAAATATGGCTCACTGAGACGGTGGGTAGTTTGATATCATAACATGAAAGTGAGAGATATTGATTTTTTTTTTTTTCCTCCTTCCAGAGAGAGATATTGACTTTGGTGCCTAAAACTTTATTACTAATTTATGTCCAACTCACAAGAATAGAAAATTAAGAGGATAATGATTTTTGAAGTGAAGTGAAACAGACTATCGACAATAATTCAATAGTTACATGAATTTCACTTTCATGCATTTACATAATTTTTTACTATCATTTATGAATGATCTACGTAATTTTTATGACGAGCGTAAATTCGTCTTTATCATAATATTTTTCTCTTAAATTTTCACATTATATATATGAACAAATTCTTCTAAATAGATACATTTAAAAACAAATTAAACTTTTTTAAAGAAATTGATTCATTGACATCATCGGTGAAGTTTTTTGAATTTAAATTTGAACATCTATAAAATAATTATAATACATACTATGACACGAATACTGAAATTACACAAACTTTGAAATTTTGATTTTTTGAAAAGAATTGATTGTTGATAATGCCATATCCCTTTAACATATGACAAGAAAAAAAGATAGTGTGTTACAATCATCATGTGCAAACAATGAATAAAAAATGGTACTTCTTCCGTTCCATTTTAATTGTCTGGATTAAAAAAAATTTGTGAGTCAAAATTATCGAAATTGATATCAAATATGAAATATAGATGGTAAATAAGTACAAAAAATGAATACGATTAGAAATGATTTTAAATGACTTTAAAATAAAAAATAATAGTAAGTCAAAAATTTTAAAATAGATAATTATTATGTAACGAAGGTAATATAAAAATCAATCCAACCACACGTAATTATCTTTTATTGTATGAGTATGAATGCGAACCCACTTAGAGGCCTACAATGCGGATATTATACGATCATACATCTGTATGTATTGATTTTGCTTTCAAATTTGACTGGACACAATAATCTTTGGTTTTTATTTCTTAATACAGTACATATATACTAACCTGCGAGATAGGACAAAAAAAAAAAGAAACAAGTTACGTATAATTTCCTATTAAAAGCACTCGAGCATAATGAAACTGACAGGGCGCTGTCATGATCCAACGCGACAGACACTCAACTTTACTTTGAACCATATGAATTAAGTCCTATAATTGGCATGGTCAAGTGGTCATGGAAGTGCCTGTCACGAATAATCATGACAGACATGTGACTCTTATCATAATTTAAAATCATCTAAAGCATCAAACTTCACAAGTTGATCACAGGCCCAACCAAACCCTAAGCAACCCTGGCAACCTCTTCATGACAGTTACCGTTACTGAGAGCCTCCTTGGCACGTGACTCACCCATGCACTCTTTCCCAATTTTGGCCAACATGGGAGTCAAGTCTCTAGGGTGCACATCAACCTTGAGCCCATATTTCATGAACAATGTCAATGACATCTTTTGCTCCACCCGGTGGCCGGCCGCCACCGTGAGCCTGTGGCGGAGCAACACCGCCGCCGCTATGGACTTCATTTGCAAGTAAGCCAAGTCCTTACCCAAACAAATCCTTGGGCCAGCATTAAATGCAACAAATTTGTAGGAGTCTTGAACTTCAAATTTCTTACCATTCAGAGAGAACCATCTTTCTGGCTTGAATTCTAGGCAATCTTCGCCCCAAATGAACTTCATTCTGCCCGTTGAGTATATCGAATACGTGATGGCCGACCCTGCCGGGACAAACGTACCGTCCGGCAAGACATCGTCGGTGATAACATGCTTGGAATCTTCGGGCACCGATGGGTAAAGCCTAAGAGTCTCTGATAATGCAGCTTTAAGGTACATCAATTGGTCAACTTCTTCAAAGACTAATGGATCATCCAACCACTTGGAGGTGTCGCTGCCCCGTGTCGCCATCAGAACGGTGCAGAGTTCAGTCAAAATTTTCTCTTCAACTCTTGGATTTTTAATGACCAACCAGAAGAACCAGCTCAGAGCCACCGATGACGTGTCACGTCCAGCTAGGATGAAATTGAGAGCCACGTGTTGGAGAAATGTGTCTGAATATGATTCCTTTTTCTTCATGAACCTAGACAACAAGTCATCATGTGGGGTCCCAGACTTCTGCTGACTCAGCAACTCGAGCTTACGTGTGTTGATGACGTCAGTCAGGTACTCGTCCACGTGTTTGAGGCTTTGGCTCAAGCTGACCTCCATTCCGAGCCGAAGCCATTTCTTCAGCTTCCATATGATTTCGGGCAATATAAACCGTTGCAATGTGGCTTCGGTGGCTCGATCGAAAGCCGACGAGAAGTTGTTCGCCGGAAGCCCGGGAGAGAGAGTTTGTGGGTCCTTACCGAAAGCCAAGCCGCATATGTTATCGAAAGTGAGCCGAAGCAAGAGGTCTTGGAGATCAACTGGCTTTGCTTCGAGCTGAGCTGTCTTCAGAATTGGGCAGAACCTGAGCTTAATGGCTCGGCTCACCCACCGAGCCATGGCTTGACGGAGTGTCCTGGTGGTGAATTCCAGTGCGGCGGTCTTTCTCTGGAACAGCCATGTGTCACCGTCAGAGTTGAAGATCCCCTCACCAAGCAGATCATGGAACACAGACTGCCAGGTGGGGCCTTTGGGGTAATTGTCGAACCGTAGCTTCAGTATATGCTCCAGGTTCTTGGGGTCGCACGTGACAGTCACGAGACCTTGCTTGCGGGCTAAAAACGGAATTGCACATATGCAAGTCTGGTACGTGCCGCCGCACGCGCGAAGGTTGTCAGCAATCCACTCATGCATGCGATTAGCGTTCCGGATGAGTTCCGGTAGACTGCCCAATAAAGGCCAGACACGTGGACCCTTGAGTGACCGTGTGATCGAAACAAACCATAGCATATAAGCTGCTACCAGTGATAAGACCAGACAAACCGTTGATGTATCCATCTGATCTGGCGGACCCCACTTGAAGAAAACAAAATCCATAGATCCGATTACACCGTAACCGCCGGTAAACCCCACCTCTGTCCACCGGAAAACCACAGAGCTTTTTGAACTTGAGAGCCGTTAATGTGAAGCTGAAGCTGAAATGGGTTCAAGAATTGAAACCCAATTCGGAAATGTAGGTGAACATCTGTGGTGTGAGGCTTCAAAGAAACTCTTCACACACAAACAATGTGTGTGTGTGTGTGTGTGAGAGAGAGAGAGAGAGAGAGAGAGAGAGAGGGGGGGGGAGGAAGAAGTGAGAGATTTTTGATTGACGGAAATGAAAAAAAAACAGTGATTTATAGAAGAATAAGAAAAGTGGAGCAATTAATTGAAAAGGAGGTGGACTGTTGTTGAGATGGTATGTATTTCTCTCTCTAAAGCTCTGTTTAACTTACTTCTTTTATTTTTCTCTGGATAGTTAAAAGCTATAAAAGAGTGTCATTAAATAGCACCAGAGGTCGTTGAGGGAGTTAAGAAAAAAACAAACACAAATGTGTAAAGCAATTAGCAAAAGGACTAAACCGCGCACATAGAGATTAGAGAGAGAGTCGTCGTATATAATGAAAGCTTTGACCAATCCAACCCGTGTAACATACCCCCACACACTTTCACCATCTCACTTTGGGGCTAATAGTAAGTGTTCGTGGATCGTAACCGCGTAGAGTATTATATTAAACAGTTTAATTTAAACATGACTTATTTAATAATTATATCAGAAACTCTCAACACTAACCTAATTTGTTTATTAAATAAGTTATACGTGTAACCCGTTTAGACCTATTTAAAAAATATATACATATATATATATATGTATTATTTAAATTATTAATAATAATCAATAAAATAATAAATACTAAAAAAAGATATAAATTTTAATCAACTAAATTACTAAATAGTTTCTAATTTACAAAATATTAAATTATAAGACACAAGTTTATATAGTAATTTTAGAACTTAAATAGAAATTTATTTATGACATATATAGTTAAACGTGTATAAACGGATTGAACCCCTCAATTTAAATACGACACTATTAACTAAACGGGTTAATTATATCGATCCATTTATGACCCGAACTCATTTAAAATTAACTTAAATCCATTAAACTCGTGTCGTGTTCGAGTCATGTTCATGGGTCGTATCAACTTTTACCACCCCTGTCTCACCCGTCATGGGATTATAACTTATACATATATGTGTTGTATATCTCTAAAGAAAAGCCTCACCTAATTTTTCAGGAAAGAGTTTGTGTTCTTAAATATGAGCATTGAATGAAGGGAAGAAGTAAATGGAATTGGTTGAGAAAGCTATCACATGTAGAGAGAGAGAAAGACGGGGGAAAAGGAAGAAAAAAAACTTTGGCGCGCACTAGAAGCTCTGTTTTAGAAGGACGGCGGTCTGTATGATCATGTGACCCAGTTGGGATTGGGTGACCGACTCAACTACATTTAAATGCCTAATTAATCTTGCTTTATCTTCCACATACTTTTCTAATTGAACCCTGCTGGCTGCTTCAACAACCGACAACCGACTTTCGGTTGCTTTTGTGAGACTATCCGCCGAAAATATAATTGCCCTTTCTAATTAGAGTTGTGTTTTGGAGAACAAATTTACTAATCCAGACGAGACACAATGGAATTTCTAGTTGGACTCTGCTACAACAACTGACAATCGGCTTCGGTAGCTGTTGTGAGACAACTGATCGTGAAAATTTTAATTTCTCTTTCTAATTAGAGTTGTGTTTTGGAGAATAAATCCACAAGTCCGTAAATAAAACACAATGGATGTTAGAGTTGGTCCGCCACCATGTATGGCTTTGAAATATATTTTTATTTTTTAAATTTCATTAATATTACATTTGAATCATTTAATTGGCGCTTTAACAAGTGTAGTGTTGTATTATTTAAGTAGTTGAGTTACTTCTAGTGTCTCCAGAGACCTATTAGAGTTTTGTACTCTTTCCCTCCTCTCTAATTAGTAACCACTAACTCATAATATTATTATTCTTAAATTTTTTTTTTTATAAAATCGGCCTATTTATTTAATCATTTCTCATTTATAAATAGATATGATTTAAATATAAAATAAATAATTATTAATAAATTATAATAATCATTTAACAACCATCATTCTTTTTTTTTTTTCCAAATTAATAATCATTAATTTTTTTGTTCACTAATAAGCACGAGATCATTTATATATATATATATATATATATAAACTCATGTACCGCTAAACATGAGTACAAATTAGATGGAAGTCCAATGTGTACTATTTAGGAGTTAGAACATGCACCCAGTTCACTCTCCCAACAACTGAAGCAGCGGGACCCACAATAGATAATTAATTTATTCATTCATATGTACAGATGGTGAATAGTACTACAATGGATAACCTAAAGACTAAAATAAATAAAATAATGTAGTGGATTGGAACATTTTGTATCAAAATTTCAATACCTATATGTTGTTTTATTTATTTTTATTTTTATTTATTTTTATTTTTTGAAAGGTATAAATGCCTATATGCTTCATGAAGCTGAACCGGACATCTTTCTAGCTTTTCTGGAGTGTTAACAGACAAAAATGAGGCAGTAATCCTAGTAATATAATTACTAGAAGTTAGTCATGAAAATAGTTTGAATATCTCATATGTTTGTGTGTGTGTGTGTATATATATATATATATATATATAGGTTGGTAATATAGTGTAGCTCACTAGGCCAGTGGCCTGTTGGTGGATTATCATCACCAACATCACTAATAAAGAAATCAATATGGTATTAGGTAATTCTATAGATGGAAGTGCAACAAATTAAAATGTATTGTGCCAATCATGGTTCAAATGATTTAATGGAAAATGATAATTATTCTGTGGATGATTGAATGCTGTAAAGTCTTGAAAAGGTCAAAAAAAAATCATAAAGATGAGCTCAACAACTGTCTTGAAATAGCTAAAAGAAGAAAGAAAGTAGACGAACAACTAGGTTAGATATTAATAGCGAGGCAATGAATTGCAAACGGTTCATCATCCATCCATTAGTGGGGGTTCCATATATGATGATGCACTACTTACAGCTAGCTCTAGAACATCTGCGTTCTATCTCCAAGCCTCACATGCAATGTCCCCATCTACACTAATCCCATTACAGCTTCTGGTGAGTTACATTAATTATGTTTGCCAAAGGAGCAAACTTTTTTAGGTCACAACCACTACTACCTGTGCGTATCCTACTAACTACAAGTTTAAGCAAGGGTGATGACATAATTGTCCACAAATCCGTTTTCGACCAGAAAGGACACAAACGACCCACCCAATAAAATGTACTGGCTAAAGTCATGTTGTTTTGTACTGGCTAATGTCACGTCGTTTTTCGGCTAAAAACCTTCGATTAAGACTCCGAATTCTCGTTTTGTAGTCTTATTGGAGGCTTGTTAATAATTTTTAGATTTTTGTTTGTGGCCTAAACTTTTGGTATTTAGTAATTAGGTTTCTTACCTTATTTTTTTAAGGATTTTTAGAAAGAATTTATTTTTGAGCTTATTTTTAAAGCTTCCCTTGTGTTTTTAGTTTTTTTTTTTTTGCTGATAGGCTTACATATAGTTTTAGGTTTTCTCTATTATACATATGCATGTACTGGAAGATCATAATTACCTTTTTTGATTAATAATATATCATATTGCTTTACAATTTTATGTTATTTATTTATTTATTATTATTATTTTAAATTTTTTAAAAAAATTTGTGTATTCAAAGTTGTTCCTTGTTCATTTTGCTCGCGTGTTTCTTAGCTTCCACTCCATAAAAAAGTGTGATAAGAATTGACATTTTGGGAATGGTTTCTTACCAATTCTTAATTTGCTTGCTTTCATTTTTAAGTTGAAGATGTTAATTTATTAGTCCATTGATGATCTCACCCTTTTAAAACTCTTTTGTTACATATATTCTATCCCTTTTTCTTCACAATTCAAGCAATTAGTTGATGGCTTTTTACTGCATTATTTAAGAGCATTTCTTTTGAACAATGACAAGACTTAAACAGGGGCAGAGTCAGGATTTAAATTCAGGGGCACAGTACCAAAAAAAAAATGAAAAAAAAAATGAAAAAGAATTTTAAGAAGTAGAAGGAAAAAAACACAAAGAAGAAGAAATAGGGAAAGAAAAATGACAAGTTTTGATAGAAATGAAGTAGAGCATTATTGAATAAGAAAATTTTGACTTTTTTAAAAAAATGAAATTAAAGAAATTTAAAGAGTAAATGAGGGGGAAAAGGAAAAAATTAAGAGAATTTTGGACACTTAATATTTATTGGAGCAAAAATATACAAATTTTTAGTAATCTCTGGACATCTTTGTTCACTCTTTAGAGTCACTTGTCGGGTCTCTTAGAATATCCTATAATTCATTATCGTACACGTGTAATTGTCTATCCCATATGTACCAGATAATTACAGGGGAGATTTACTGGGGTCAATGGCTTGAAATCAAGCCAATCCTATCATTTCATTATAGCTCAATGCAACCAGTCTCTGAACTCCTGAAGAAATAAATAAACTGATATTGAAAAGGTAAATTAAAAAAAGACAGTATATGTATAAAATTCAACAGGGTTGGACTGGATATGACACTCTTATGAAGGTGATGTCTACTTATTAGAACCACCACTTCATGTACACTTCATGCTTAATGAATGTAGTACTTCAAACACACAGCCACACATTTAGTTGGGCTGACACATTCCAATCACTTCCGGACACACTCCAAACACATCCATGAATAGCACATTAACAATCCTGGATATAATAAACACACACCTCAAAATGGCCAATGTTTTCTTAAAAAATTGCCATTATCACCACAAATCAAGCTTATAATGACACTGTTGATAGATGCTGGGTGATGAGGCGAGGAGATCGTTCCACGTAGGTCAGGAATGATAAGGTTAGTGTCTGAGTAAGAACTTAAGCTATACCAAGGATTCTTCACAGGTGAAAATTAAGAGAAGGAAGACAGTTGCTAGTACTAGTTAAACCCGAGGTCCGGTAGTAGGTCTTTATGATTCTTGTTGTCTTTCCCTTAACTTCTGATTTCTATGCCTATTTATACTAATTGGTTCCGGATAATGCCCCCCGGTCGCGGGGGGAAACCTCTCTTTGACTATTGGTCGCAGGGGGAGGGGGGGTAGCTTCCCCTTGACCATTGGTTTCGAGAGGGTAACCTCCTTTAGACCAGTGGGTAGAGGGACCTCCT